AATCGCTCATTAAATTCAAAATGACTTTATTGTCTCTTTAGTGATTATGGATGCTGTTGGAGTGTTATATAGGATTTGGGACCAGAAGCCAAAATGTTTCTCTTTTCTAAATCCAAAATTGTTTGTGGTATACACAATGGAAAAAAATCAAACTTTTTCTACTCAGATTTGATGGTTTCTTTTGTTTTGTGTGCTTGTAGGTCAATTGTGTTAATTTATTATGTCTGAATTTTAAAATAACTGTAGGTCACAAAAGAAGAATGGAAAAAATGATGCCATACCAGACAAGATAAATATTTGTAATGATTAAATATAAGGGTAAAATGAAAAGTAATTTTAAAAAATGGCCAATTATACCCTAAACCGCAGAGGGTTTAATTCAATTCAGTATTTGGGTCAAGGTCAAGTTTATTTATATAGCACTTTTCCAAACAGTCTTAACAATGTAAACAGGGAGCCAATGAAGAGAAGCCAGTATGGGAAAGATATGCTCCATCTTTGTAGTCCCTGTCAGTACTGTTGCTGCAGCATTTTAGGTTAACTGAAGGCTTTTAGAGGAGTTTTTAAGACAGTCTGATAAAAATGAATTACAATCGTCCAGCCTAGAAGAAATAAATGCATGAACTAGTTTTTCAGCAGAGCCCTGGCTTTTTGTCAGCCTGGCTACAGGCTGCTGACAAGAAACCTGGGGTTGTTTTTATTTTTTCAATAAGTGAGGAAAAGTGAGATGTTCTTGCTTTGCGAAAAGCTCTGTCTTTTTTTTACTTTTTCTCCTATCAAACAACAAACTATTCTTACAGGCTAAACAGTGATCTTCTAAAAAAGTGAATTGTTTCATCTTCATCTTATAACTTCAGCTTATGAACTGCTTTAAGGTGCACGTTTAAGAGTTATACCACAGAGTCAAGTAATTCTGATTTGAGGTTTTCGTTTTCAGTTTGGGTATCCAGAGTTGTATGCAGTGAAGATGTAATACTATTAACAAGATAATCGACCTCTATGTGACTAGAATGGCTTAGTTACAGCACTTTCAGAAAGACATGTACTCTAATAATTGTGTTAACCACTGCTTTGTAATCTGTTGTGGTATATTCAAATGTTAATAAGAAATGATCTGAAAAAGAGGGTTTTTTGTTTTAGTTCAGTTTCTATGCCAATATGTCAGAACGAGATCTAAAGTGCGATTAAAGTGGTGGGTGGGTTCGACGGCGTTGTAACGATAGAAATGGTAATTAGTTAGATTACTCGTTACTGAAAAAAGTAACGCCGTTACTTGTAATGCTAACTGAAGTCTGCAGTGTACAGGGTGATGAGGAAAGAGGCGAGCACTGTTCCTTGTGGGGCCCCCTTGCTACAGACTACCGCCTCAGACACACAGTCCCACAGCCTCAGGTAGTCAATGATCCACTAGGATAGCTGATGGTCTACTCTCCCTGCAGCTTCCCCATTAGCACTGAGGGCTGGATTGTGTTGAAGGCACTGGACAAATCAAAAAGCATGACTGTCACAGTGCACCTAGTGCCCTCCAGATGCAGCAGCATCATCCACCCTGATGTTCAGCTGGTAGGCAACCTGCAGTGGGTCTAGGTCTCTCCTGACTAGTGGGTGAAGGTGGTGAAGTATGATCCTCTCCATGGTCTTCATCAGGCGTGAAGTCAGTGCAAGAGGTCTGAATTGTTTTGGCTCTTATTTGTTAAACCCAGCTTCAGAGACAGTGTTGCATCTACGTCAGTTCTTGAGAGCAGGGCTCATGATGTAAATGAGCTTTTTTATGTTTAGTGTTTCATACAGGGAGTTGGGCGGGTATCCCCCACCTCCTGGGAAAGAAACTGTGTTTGGCACAACAAAGCATTCAGACCATAATTCTGTTTGCTGCGACTGCTGGACGGGTTTTTGTTTTTGTTTTTGTTGTTGTTTAAAACAATATCAGCAGTATGCAGTTTAGCAGACTGCTGATATATTCTATAAAGAGTATAAGGCGCAGTTAGTGACGTTTCAGTTCCAGTGTTTCCCTTCGTGTGTGTAGGTGTATATCTAACCTTTGTATTAGTTGTTTTATTTTGGTACTTTGGTGTCTGTGGTGCTTTGCATTTCATTATAGCTCCTCCTAGTCTCATTACCTAGTTTCTGTTCACCCCAGTTGTGTTCATGTTCTCTAATTCCCCTCAAGTGTGTGTTTTTGCTCCCTGTGTCTTCCCTGCCCACATTATTAGATTCCTGTATGGACCGTGTTATTAGGATTTTGGACTCTTCTGCCAGTTGAATAAAGTTACATGTCAGATTATTCAGTTGCCTTAAGAATCTGCATTTGGCTAGTCCTTATGCAAAGCTATGATTGGTGCCTTGTGAAATGACAAATGTAACAAAGAAGAGCCAGGATACTTGAGCAGCTAGAATTCTACATTGGACCACCACATTGGACTATTAGAAATGACATTATGACCAATCACAGGTAAAGTTAATAATACAAATTATCTGTTCATCGTGGCTCCTGTTAGTGGGTGGGACATATTAGGGAAAATTTTGTCTTCAAACTTCATGTGTGAGAACTAGGAAAAATGGACAACTGCAAGGTTTTGTTCATTTATTTATTTATATTTATGCACTATCCCAGCTTTTGTGGAATTGTGGTTGTACTTAAAAAGCAACAGTTTGCTAATCTCTGTTAAACATTTATTCAACTATCTGCAGCCTAAAAAAGCGTTTACTTTCTTAGTTATGGAGCGATTGTAGCGCTAACTACAATCGCTCATTAAATTCAAAATGACTTTATTGTCGCACTTTCCTGACCTTCATTTTTTCTATACATCATTTCTCTCTCCAGGTGAGAAAATGACGGTACGATCATACAATCTTCTTATTCTGGCAGCATGGCTGAATGCTGTGTTCTGGTCCTCCATGCCAATTGTTGGCTGGGCTGGTTATGCCCCTGACCCCACTGGAGCTACATGTACCATCAACTGGAGACAGAATGATGCGTGAGTCTTTAAGGGATAATGTACTTGATATTTTGGATAAAAAGCTACTAAAAAAGAGTTTGAACAGATATTTGCCTCTCCATTAGCTAAGTTTTTTTTCAATAGCCCAAACAGTCCACCCCATTAAAGCCATTGGTGTTTCTACTATCACAAGATGCAAAGGTAATGTTTTGGTGATTTGACACTATATAGCGGTTTTGCACATAACATCATGCACACGTTGCTCAACAACTGTCTGCCATATTGGATAAGTGGTAGCGATCACGTAAATTCACTGATACATAGTATACATAGAAATGATCACTATTTCCCCCTCATAATGCCTATATTCTGCTGCATGATTGGGTGCAGCAATGATCAAGGACAGAAATCCCAGGTCAGGCTTGCAGGCAGGTCCATCATCTTTAGCCTCAAATTCTGGAGGCTTAAACTGCACTCTGTTGGGTCAAGCATTGTCATCTTGTAGACTACAGTTTTGTCCTAGACTGTGGAGATATGGGATTGTCACTGGTTGCAGAATCTTATTTTAAGATCTCGCTCCACTGAAATTGCCTCCAGTAACAACAAAAGCTTTCAGCCTTTTGGTTAAGCAATTACCATAGCATTTTCTGTGTCCTCTCCACACTTTGACCCTACAGTCCAGCCGCAGTAGGCCAAAACTGTACCACTGAACATGATGTTTCTCCACATGTTCAGCTTACAGTACACATGTTGTCAGCACCAGCATAAACAGGTCTGATTGTGAAGGGCCTCCTGGGCGTCACATGAGACTGGAGATTGACTGTATGCTGTCTTTTAAGTGGTGACAGGTTAAGGAAACTGTCTTTTTTGGTCTCATCTTCTTGGGATGCCCACTTTGTGGCCTGTCTGACATTTCCCTTTAAATGGAACTTGACCTTTAATTTCGGATGGTAATAGGGCTCACTCCTAAATAATGCTCCAGCTTGGTTTTCCAGCATTCCAACTTGGCCTGGCACATGGCCTATCCAGATCAGTACCTGGGGATCCCACAGGCAAACGGGAACCACAAAGAAGCCACTAGGAAAGTTGCAACCACCAAGTACCCGCAGAGGATCAGGCAAGTCCAAGGAATCAGCTAAGCAGTAAGAAGAAGATCCGGGCTATCAACACCTGATCGTGATCAAGTACCCTGCTGGGATAATAAGCCAGCCAAAGGAGGAGATAGTAGCCCCTGACATCAAGACCAGGAAGCTCCTGACCATGAATGGTTCCAGTCCAGCACCCTGAGGCTGTACGCTAAGCGGAAAGAAGGAAGCCAGAGACTGTGAGTGTCAGCACCAAA